ATCACAATATTAAATGCTCTTAAATGAAAAACATATGTGAAACAAAATCACAATTAAGAAGATTAAAATTCTAAACAAATATGGTAATGAAAAAGTTGATCAATAGACATATCATTGCCAAATATGAAATATAAATTCAATTACTAAAATATCATCTATGAAACTAATATGCAAAAAGTTGAATATAGTTATTGTAAAGTAGAAAATGACAATTATTAATTAAACTCCATGAGCACAAAAGATGGAATAAGTGGAACAACACATAAATAGTAAGAAGACTAAACAGTATCAAATTCTCATAAAAAAAACATGGTAAAAAATAATAATTATAATTAAAAGTTTAAATAGTGTAAAAAGATGGAAAAAAAAATATATATTCCCATTTTGCTATTGCTATGTCTTATAGAAGACATTTAATAAAACAAAACACTTGATATTCTTCATTTAAACATTACATATTTAATTATTTTATGTAGTTTATATAGTGAAACATAGCTTGATAATCTAGTTTCAATCAAACACATAAATAGTCATCAATTTTGTCTTACTCTTTATGAGCTTCTTGATCTTTGTTGCAAATTGTTGAAGTAGGCTATCAGAAGTTTCATCTAAACCAAACTTAGTAAATGACCTTTGAAGAGATATGTCCTTCCTTCGATCCATCTTCAATACAATTATCTCTTATGTGAGAAATCTTATCCTATAATCACAAAATATTACCAACATTAAATATTAAGTATTGAAACTATAAAACATCATACTAACTTATGGTAATAGAAAGTTGATATAATTTTTATTGAAAGGTATAAACTCACTCCATTAATATGTTTCATTGAAACACTTGTATTTTTGTCACATGAAAGTTTTGAATTTCAGAAGATTCCTACATAATTAAGTTATAAACAAAAATTTTAAAAGATCTGACCTTTAAGAATAAAAATGTAATATACATAGGTAAACATACTTGTCCAGCGGTATGTAAAAAACTATCAATGACCTTCTCATCAAAGAAAATCTTTTGAACTTTGTAGTGCTTCCTTCAAAACTGTTAATGTCATTTCGTTTGATGCTCAACCTAAAAATCATTTTCTTATTCTTTAGGGCATTAAGCTCA